CACATATGTAGTGCTCTTTCTCAGCATGAAGCCATACTAGTCCTCACTAATCATAACTTCTCTCCTCAACCAAGCTTCTACAACTCTTTCCCATAGTTTTCCCAATCTGCTCTCTCTTCAAGACAACTCTATACCTCCACAGGTGGAGTGATTCCCTTCCACTCTTCGCTCTCTTCATACCTGCCCTTTCTTCCTCCTTACTAATCCTATTACCCATTGTTATTTTATAAAAATGCACTCAGTCAAACTGCAGAACTTCATTAATGTTAATTAGGCCTCACAATATGAAAGTCACCTTTCATTAGCAGTGATGATGCTTGACAAATTAAAGGCTGCTACCTGCACAAGTTTGATATCCATGCATATGCACACATTCAAGTTGTCAAATGAGATTGACACAGAGTAATCCTCTGAAGCCCTGCTAGTGACACAGAGATGCACAGGGGACTTTCTTGAATCAATTACAGTTTTTTGGTTTTTAGGTGCAGCAAAGGAACTTTCTATTTTATACCCAGAGCAAAAATTGCATTATTGATACAAAGTGTTGAACTCAGAAAAGATAAAATATGTATACAAATACGAAATATCTATATGATACATGTCTAATATACAGGTGCTTTAGTTGCCGAAACAAATCTTAAATGAAGCCCGACTAAAAAAACATAAAGGCCACATGTCTACACAGCAGGAGGTCTGAAGTGGGTCAAAACATGTTCAATGTGCTGGAAGGCAGCTGCAGCACGCGCACACACACACACACACACACACACACACAAAGAGCTGTTCAGTCATTTTAAACTGCTCAAAGTAACTTAATCAGATGAAACATTCCTGAGCAGTAGCAGCGGCATGACAGTTTGCCATCAGCATGTGCGCAGTGAAGTTTAATCTATTGCTGATGCTGTCTCTATGTGCGTTCATGTTGAGTCACAGTTGGCCCGTCAAAAGTCTTCAAGAGGAATTCAGGCTCAGCTGAGCAGCCCTAAATGCTTCCAGATGGAGGGAAAGCCCCACCACTGCTTCCTGTGGCCCTCATTCCCTCCCTTTAATCCACCATCCCTCCATTGCTGAATCCATCCTTCCATTTGCCCAGCTGAGCTGTTCAAGTAATGGTGTCATTCATAAGGTTGACTCAATGTAAGGGAATCGGGAATTCTGCAATAAAAGGAGAAACTTGTTTCTACAAAAATATTCTAATATAGATAATAAAAATTAACACATAGTCTAGTTAATGCACCGAAGTTAGATTGGTAGATTTTTGCTATATGCTGCAATCCCTATTACTAGATCCACTACATGTTAAGTGGTGGATCTACGCCATCATCTAATAAAACTGTTTTCATAAAGCTGATTTTATGATAAACCATTCCTGACTATATACAGCTGAGCAGGAGAATGTAGTTGCCCTAATGTGTGTCTTTGTTTTAACAATGTTGCACTTCAGTGGTTAAAATATTCAAGCAATCTAACTAAAGACTACCTACCCACAACATTAAATGTCAACTTTTGTTGCCTCCAAAGTCGAGTTGGTGCCTTATTTGCAAGTTTGGTAATTCAGGCTTGCACACCTCCTTAACATTTTTGATATCTGGACGCACTGTTGTTGACTCTCACTGTCTCTCTAACCACTCGATTCTGACAGATGATCTTCCACAACAAAACTTAAGTGCAGCTGTAATCAGAATCACATATCCTTCCTGTTCTCTGCTGACTTTCATTTGCCAGATTTGTAAAAATGTCTCATTTATACCAGATGGATCTTCCTCTAGGTTTCCCTCTGGGAGCTCCAAGTACTTTGGACAACTTTAGCATCGGCATTTCTGACAATGTAGCATGCCACAATACATACAACTGTGAAGTAAAGGGCTACTTTGAGGACATACAATTTAAAAGGACTCCCTGCTGGTTCCCTGGGGAACTCCTTTGTGACCGTTTATGAACATTAGCAGGTGTGTTTCCCACTGAATCATACAGTCCTGTGCTATAAGCACGACAGCATTAGAAAGCTCAGTATATGGTCTGAGTCTATGTGACTTTCTGGCTCTCCACCCAACATACCACTGCTATTATATAAAACTTTCAGCAAAGATACCCGTGGGATGTAAAATGTAGAGCTTAGTACAGCACAAGCATCTACTCAGAAAAGAGACACCCTTTCATTTCCTTAAAGCAGAATGATATACTTAATAGCATAAAAGCAATTTTGTACTTTTTACCAATGACAGACTAATTTTAAAGTTTTTCATTATTACAAATCATTGCATGTTGTCATTATTTTGCTCACAGAAATTTAGATGATTGTTATAGATATTAGTACTCAGTTCAGATATTTTCTCAATATAATGAAATATTCTATTCTATTCAATTCAGTTTTATTTATATAGCGCCATATCACAACAACAGTTGACTCAAGGCGCTTTATATTGTAAGGTAGACCCTACAATAATACATACAGAGAAAAACTCAACAATCATATGAGACCCTATGAGCAAGCACTTCGGCAACAGTGGGAAGGAAAAACTCCCTTTTATCAGGAAGAAACCGGCGGCAGAACCAGACTCAGGGAGGGGCGGAGCCATCTGCTGCAACAGGTTGAGGAGAGAGAAGGAAGATGGGATCAAGGACATGCATAATGAAATATTATATTCATTATTTATATTAAAGAACCTCCATGTATTCTGTGGAAGGCTGCATCTTTAGTTCTTCGTTTGGACAAATTTCTAGCAAACTTTATACATATCTATACAATAACACCCTCCTGTTTTTGTTATATCATTGTTCCCATAGACTGTACATGTTAGCCATTATTTGGCAGTGTACCAGTGACCAGTGTTGGGTTTGGGTACTTATTTCTTTTTCCCTGTAGTGAATAATGCAGCACATTTGATTTGCTTTTTATTTTTTAAATGAATGAATACATTATCATATATCGAGCTCCCCAGTGAACATGTTTAGATCAGCTGGTGGAATGTCTTCACATCACGAGGTGTTTGATATTACAAGCCGTTGTATGCCACACTGAATCTTTTTAATCTGTTCATTGAGGGTTGATTGATTCCAGCAAGGAGTGTCATTTTTGATGCCAACTTCACCAACATTTATCTAAAGGCTGGCTGTCAAAGGAGATTTTGTTAGATGTTGTTGGCAAGTGTAGATAGCATCCCTTTAATCCACAGAGCATGAGAAAAGAGATGAAAACAGGTGAAGACAGGATTAGGCATATGGTCTGTGAGAAGACTAAATAAAGCCAGAGTGTTGAAGAACAAAGTATCAGATAGACGATAAGACATGGGGTTAACACAGTTTCTTACAGTTTAAAAAGATGAAGACCAATGTTGGTCCATTTTGAAATATGACTGCTTACGCTGCTGAAACTAAAAATGAGGAAGTTAAATGGAAATTCACATTGTTCCATTTTCTTTCATTTTGATTTTGTGTTGTGAAAGCCGACAGAATTAACCATAACAAAGTGTAATGGGTTAGTGAGGTATGCTGAGCACAAAACCAGAGTCTTCAGTTTCACAAAGGTGGCTCTTTTTATCTGGTTAGACCACTACAGTACCAACTTCAGATAATGTTATGTGCTGGTTTAAAAACAACTGTGGGAGCCACATTTTCCCACATTTTTGACCCAACAGCATGCACTAAAATCAATACAGATTGTTACCTTATGGAATACATTTTTATATTATACATGGTAAGCAGTACGTTAGTAATTCTGGCATATAAAGTCGCCCAGTTACACAAGTGCAAACCTTGCATTCAGTTTACTGTTACCGTCCATAAATACAGAATGTTGTTGTAATTTATCAAGCGTTTAATAAAGGGTGTGTAGTTACTCACAAAAGAATAAATAGCAAAAAAAGAAATGGGAGCCCCGGCTAAAACAACCAAAAGAGGAAGAAGACCATAACCAGCGGCAGGCCCCTGGATTCAGGTTTCTCCCCTAACCTAGTCCTAGGAAACTAAACTAGAAGTAACCAAAACAGAAAACAGTACTACCGGTAACTCCTACTCAGTCAGTACTTAATAAACAGAGCTTTAAGAGATATATAGAAAATGTATGAATATGCTTTATGCTTGGTCCTGCGAAGCACTTTTGACATGGTTATAAAACAAATTGAACTAATTATAACCATTACAACTAATACTAAATTCCCACTGTTAGGGTCATTGGTACGTGGTTCTTGTCACACATTTTCTCCAATAGATAATATGATTTTTGTCATTCAGGACAGAAAACAGACATTTTTAATGAGGAAAAAAAATAGAAATTTCTTAAAATATTTTTTGACACATACTTGAGCCCTGGCACCAAATATATCGAGTCAGGTCAAGATTTTTCAGATGTGTAACTGCTCCCGTGGGTTCATTTCCTACGAATCAGTGTCTTTGGTTTCAGATCTGCATTTATAAACACACATCAGCAGCACTGATTCACTAGAGGAAACAGACTGTGAGACAAAAAAGGAAGTGAGACAGAAAAGAGAGATACAGTATTTCACAAGAACCTTTTAGGTTAAATGTTAGCGCAGTTACTCTGTCTAGAGGATTGATCAGCAGGTAAGATCCATAAGTTCTAAAGGAATTTTACTCTAAAACACTGGACCTCAACGTTTGATGGAGATTTAGACTTGTTTGTCTTGAGGTTGTGCAAAACTCTGGCCAGTATTTATCAAAATCTTTTTAAGAAAAACTGACTAATCGTTCAGTCTAGAAAAGAAAAGAAAATTCATGTTGCATGAAGCTAATACATTTTTACTCGACTTAGTCAAAACAAAGAAAAAAAACGGGGAAAAAAGACTTTTCCTTTAACAGAAGACTAATTGACAAACTGCCTTAAGATTAAACTGTGGAGGTCAGCTGCTCACTGACTTAATACAATATGAGGAAGTGAAGGAATGTCAAGGGCTATTATGCAACAACACAACAAACTGAGAGTAGGGTGCCTCCTTTAGGCAGCCAACACACACACACAGACACACACACAGATATCCTACCCCTGCTGATTCGTTGTTTCTCTCCAGACAGGATACCAGGAGTATCAATGATGCTGATGCTCTGAAGAACCTGATTGGGCATCTGGGAGCAGATAAACCTGAACAGTGAGAATTGAGTGAGAATTCATGTTTTCAAGGCAGCAACACTTTTATCTCAGGCTAACGAACTGTCAGCTGGTCAGATAGTTCAAGAAAGTAACATTTCCACAGCCCCATCCACCCAACCACGTACTTTACCCTTGAGGTTATCGTACTACAGCAAATCTCTAAGAAGAACTCTAGTAAGATGAACTTTACAAAAAGTAGTTTAAGCTAGTGTGTAAAAACAGTCACATTGTCAGTGTACAAGAAATATTTCCTCAGGGTGAAAATTCAGGGGGGATGTGGGTTATCTGTGACATGCAGCAGGATGCAAAGGTTACGGTGTTGCTGCTGTCACCGTGATTGGGGTTAAAACAAAAGGTGGGGTCAAAGGTCAAAGAATGTTCAAAAAGAGTCAAAAATGATAAAGAAAAAAAACTTCTGTGGATAATGTGGCATATCGGTTTGCTCTTTGATGCAGCTGCATATATTTAAGTCAATAATCTGGACCTCGTCTATAGTTGTGACATTTGGATACACCCACTTTCTAACTACGATTGTTTGCATTAGCTGATAATTTTGGACTGCACACTATCGTGCAAATACAGTTTCTTGGCTCCAAAAGAACCATTACGTTCGCAACTACAACATAATGCTGAGCCTGCAAAATACAGAAACCAGTGGGGGATGCTACGTTGGTTGCATCCGTCTTTTATAGGCTATACATTACCATGTAGATTTGCTTGACTTGCTAGACTTGCTTTACTAGTTTATTATTACACCTTGGTTGTTATCATTGTTCTCTCTTATGTTCCAGGTTCTGGTCACTGTACTTCTAATCTCCCTGTCACCTAAATTTAGTCGAGAGGCTACAGGAGCTATAAATTGCCTTGACTTGTCAGGGATGCAGCAGGCTGGCAGCGGGAAAAAACAAAGCCACCATATTGACACATGGTGACGCACACACACACTTCCCCTTGGAAACAATAACTTATTTTGGAGGGTCTCAACGGGACAAGACGGGATTTCAAGCTTAAGGAATGTTTCAGGTGTATATTTACAAACAGACATTCGGAGGGTGGACTGTGTCCACTTCCTCTCTCCTGCTCTTAGACATATTTCTGGACAGAGGAAATACTTTTGAACAGGAGTGGCTTTAGCTAAATTTAAATGCCTGATACAAACTCTGGAATCTGACAGCTAATAGTGTTTATATGTCAGTGTGGGGGGACAGAGGTCACTTCCCACGTTGTAAATGTTTTGAGGAAAGCAGTGACAGAAGTGGGAGGAAGTGCCAGCATTTCTTTGTGTTCATGGAGTGGTGTTTGCCAAAGTGGGAGCAAGGTCATAAGAGCGTCGAAAAAAAGAAAAGAAAGAAAAAAAAAAAGCCCATATTCAAAATGTGTATTACACGTGAATGAGAGCTATCTGCTGTAAACATATGTACAGACTTACACATTGACGTCATTGGAATAGTATATGTAAAGTAATCCCATGAGTATGATAAATAGCCTATTCAAAAGTTTCTTCTGGATTTAGCTACTTTGGTTCTTGGGTGTGTCTGTCTGTGTGAAAAGTAGTGAAACAAAGTGACAACAATCTACAAAGGCAGAAAATAAGACCAAACCCTCAATTACATGGAATTATTCTCTAAGATCTTGTTGATCTCTTTGAGGACCGGGTCTCTAATGTCACATCAGTCTGCACCCATCTTATTTATCCAACCTCTCTGCATTCTGTCTGCATGAATATAATCTATACAGAAAAAGCAACAAATAAATCACAGCACATCTAAGAAGTCTATAGATCTGTTGTTCCATACTCCTCAGTCTCTCTCCATCAGGAGAAATCACCAGTTTTCTCAGTTGTACTGTATTTCATCGATGACCTCAGCTGCATGATGAAAAAAGGAATTAAGTCTAATGACCAGCAATTAAAATGATTAATGGTTCTGGAGATCAGCAGGCAAACATCCTGAGAGCTCTTCAGTATATGGACTGATCCACTGGTCGATTTGTGTGTTGCTATTATAGATCAGTCAGTCTGAGTTACATTTTATTTGATTGGCTTTGCTTGATTCTTTGTTTTGGTCTCCATCAGACCAAGAAGAGGAGTGGTCCAAAATCCCTCCTGAAATATGAACAAACCTGGTGACCAACTAAACTAAAGGGCTTACCGCACCGCTCGCCAACAAGGGTTTCTCCATCATATTCTCTTTAATAAATAAATCATAATTTTCTCATGATTAAATTTTGCTTTTAATTATTGTAACAAATTTCACTCAAACAGAGAACCAAAACAGAATTTCAAAATTGAAAAGAAACAAAAAAATGGCCTTGGCTAACGATCCAACTAGCTAGTCTTTACCAGCAAGGGTGCATCGACGTTTTATTTTGTTTTCTTAAAAACTTACATTTTTATCATTTTATAGTAAGGTAGGATGTCGAAAGTCTGTTTTTTGTACACTGTGTTTTGGTTTTATGGGGTAATATTGCGCAGTCTGTGGTCTGACACCAAAAATGGAGATTTTTAATCCTCTGAGGTCTACTCTATCATGACCCCAAACCTAAATCTAACCCTAGGCAATCAGAATATATAGTTGGTGTTTTGCTTAAACAGTTTGAAAACAACAAAACACACATAAAAAACTATTCACATCTTGACATAATAGTTCTGTTCTGGCCTAGTCTTAGGGTAGGGTTAAGGTTTGGGTTGCCGCCCTTAATGACTTGGATCTCTGAGGGGTAAATAAAAATTATATCTGAGGGAACCCGATTTTCTCATAAAATACTGTACATCAAATATTAAAACCCTCTTTGAATTCCAGGTTTATAAACATATCTAGATGGACACTGAGGGTTGTTTAAGCTGTGTTTTTCCTTCTTTAATGTGCGCATGCCTTTACCTGTTGAGGAAGGAGTTTCCAAACGCGTTGAGTTTCCTGAAGGGTTTCTTGGGGTCGACGACTAGAGCATTGCCTGGGACAACCCCCTCATTTTCACCATGCATCACTGCTATAAAGCCATCAGTGGTTGGCTCAGGACCGATCCGCATCCCAGGGAAATCTTGTTCCAGTAGATACCTGAGCCAAAGACAGAATATATGTAGTTCAACTTTAACGACTTTCAGGATCTTACTATACTTACAACAATAAGAGTGTTCGAAAAAAACTTTGTTTAGTGTAGTCCAGAAATTTGCAATCAAGTTCTACATCTGTTAGAATGTCTCGGTCAAATCATTGTTGAAAATCCAGGTCCAAAAACAGGTCCAATAAGATGGAAAAATAAATGAAATACACAAGTCACACAAATGGTTTACTTTTCTTGGACGTGCTCTGTTTGACACCTTCATTCAGTAGAGTCTGGGTACCCCCACCGTTTTAGGCTTCATAAAAAAGGGTGAATAGAAAGCAGTGTTACAATAAGAATATTCTACTAGGGTCAGCAGTGCCTTGCCAAAACCATGCCTAATGTCCAAACTGAAATACTTTCTGAAGTTTTATTGAGTACACTGAGGTGTTTCTGTTAAGTTTTCAAACATTAAAATAAAGGTATTTATCTATAAACATCAAGGCTCTAAAAGTTTTTGGAGGCTTAAAAAACAAGGAAGAATTAAAAAGTTGAAAACTTCGACCCAGAAAAAAGGTTGTTCCATCGTTAATTAACAATTGGATAGTACATTAGGATACAAGGGACCTGGACTTTTATGGATGTTATGTCACAACAGTTACATTAACACAGCACATTATCCTGCTCTTAATGAGTAATAATGTAAAAAGTGCTTAATTTGCTTTTAAATACAACAGGTAACTATACTGAAAATAAAAAACAGGATTGAGCAAGATTAGGGTGGTGCAGGCCGAAACTAAAGCATGGGCAAGAGAATGGAATGCACATGTTAGATCCTGCATATGTTGGCTAACATAAACTTTATGTGGTTGAACACACAACTCATGTGGTTCACACAATAATATCACCTTCCAAAAGATTGCATAACACAAGACTTTTTAAATAAAACAAAGGTTAAAAAAGAGTCTACAATTAGCTCAGACAGCTGACAGCTCAAATAAGGGTGTTTTAAGTAATGGTTTATTACCACAACCTTAAATAAAAACATTAATAATTAATGAGACTTCTTTTAGCAGTCTTGTAGGAATGGAGACCCCATTCCTACAAGACTTTAGACCAAAAGACACAATGATGTTTTAGAGAAAGACTTTTTTGCCATGAACTCAATGATTGCTAGAAAGAAGAGTCTAAGTAAATATCAGCAGCTACTGACGTCGCTGTATATAATGATACATCTGTGTTTACCCTATGACAAAAAATTGTTTTAATGGTTAACATTTTATTTGTGAAAGTTAAAGTTAAAGTACGGTTGGCCCAACAGAGCTCTGACTGTGTGTCATTCGGGCTACAGTCCTGAGAAGAAAGCTGGATTGTTACTGTTTTCCTTGAACGATGACAAATATATTGTTAATCTATTTTTTCAAAAACTGTAAAGCTTGGAAATCTTACTATTTTTTCAGGCCTAACAAAGATCTTCTTAATGAGTGCAAAGCCATTTCCTCTCCAGCTTATGGATTATCTGCTTTAAGCTGCACATTTGTGAGTTATAGCAGGGAGTCAAGCATGTCTTACTTGTTGCCTTCCTTTTTAAGAAACCACAGAATCCAGGGTCATATATAGTGATGACGTAACACAATAATCAAATAATTTACCTCTGTGGGAGTAAAGTTTAGGTAGCTGCTCTGCATTGCGTTTGCACATGGTAGAAAATAATAGTGATACTTCTAAACCTCATCAGCCACTTGAATCTAATGAGACTGTCATTTTCAACATCTGCATGTTAAAATCACCTACAATAATTACTTTGTAAGCACAAAATCATATGAAAAGTCTATGAAATCAGATAGAAACTAAGTGCTAAAACAAACAACGTAACAACTAAAACTGTTTTTTGACTTTTCCAAGGCTAATAGTCAGGCTTTCAAACTGTTAGGTCTTGGGTTAATTAATAAGCCAGAGTTTACTGGCTAACAGGGAGAAACCCAATGTTTGATACATTTAATTATGAACTATTGAAAATCAGCTTCACATCGGTCAGACATCAATACCACTATGTAAATTTGTCCCAAAACTGTTCACCCATTATCACTGACTGGGTGTTTAAGAAGAAAAATATTCAGTTTATGATCAGGTTTGTTACAGACAAGAAATAGATAATCACACATTTATGATTCTGAAACAGCACATTTTAACCTTTTTAGTCTTTAAAAAAAAGAGACTAAAAGGGCTAAGTTGATCGTTAAAGCTATTCTTAATTACTTAAACAGCAGTTTGACTTTTAATTTGATGCCAAGGGAAATCCCAGATCTATTGTCACAAAAGCAGGCCATTGGCCAGTTTCTGAGGTTCAGTCACACAGGGCTCTGATCTCTGTAATGGAACAGCTGTGTTTGCACAGACTTTGAAAATAAATCTTTTTCCTTTCCTTTCATCTCAACACTGACCTTGTCTACTTTTCCACTTGCTTTTCCTTATAAAAGAAAAGTGAGAAAGGAAGGAAGAGAGGGAAGATGGCTCTTTCTCGTCATCTCCTGTCTTTGTGGACAGTGCACACTTCAAAGAGTGTGCAAGACCCAAGGATGGAAAACTACCGTGCATGCCCCTATACTGAAATGTCAGAAACGACAGCCCCTTTAATGTTACATGTCACGTGGCCTTACAGTTTAGTCATAATCTTCCCTCATGTTTTCATTCAGCTGCTGATCCACAAGAATTTCCACCTCTAGCTGCAGTTTGAAAAATTGTGGAAGATCCACTCTGATTGTAGTTGTTTATGTGCATTTTTATCTTTGTGCAACTTATGAAAAATGTGAGAAATATCTTTTCTTCTCCTTTCTTGACAACCGCTCATACAGTGTTCTTCAAACTTGGCAGGTAAAATGCCGAGGACCAACGTTAGCACACCGCTGACATATTTTGGCTAAAAGTAATTGTTGCCTGCTGCTTCACTAATTTGTAAGGACAGGTGGACAAATATATTACAGCAGTGGTTGAACATTCATGGATATTAATGCATTCCCAACTCTTCACACAAAGACACCTGGAGATGTTTATAATCTTATTTTGTTAGGCTTTAGTTTCCTATGAAATAATTACTTCTGTCATTCATGCAGAGATTTTGGAGCTTCCACCCATAATCTTCCCATTTCTCCAAGCATTTCCTTATAGCTGTGTAACAGTTACACTGTTTGGTCATTTGTGTTCAGTTAGGAAATTGTGAGTTTTAGTGGGATTATACATTATAGAAAATATGCTAATAGTTATCATCAATTAACATAGATGCAGGTTTGGTCAGATTACTACTACTGTCCAAACAGAATGCACTAAGACCTGTTCGTGTCTATCGAGCCGCCCACTGGGCCACAGCTTACGCCAGGGTTTCAGTTCACCCTTGTGAGACAAGAAGAAGAAGAAAATATGTTGACTCGGCAATTTACTGGCAACATGTTCCCATGATTCAGAGCATTCCGGCGCAAGGTGGAGCTTCGGTTGTGCCCTCACCACCCCCTACCCCACAGACACACACACACACACATTACTAACTGCCAAAGTTTCTCTGCAGCTTGTGTAAGACTTGAAGGGATTGCAGGTCAAATCTGCTGGTCTGCCTTGTTGCCAAAACAACTGTTTTCACTCATCATTCACTCCTTACTTATTCAGAGTTATGAATGTGCCTTATTTGTTTACATTACATCAATGACGTTCTGAAAAAGGCTCAGACACATTCACACATGAGACCTTCAGTGACAAAATCTGCAGGTGCATGTTGGACTTTCAATTCTTCTGCAGGAAGCCCGGCTGCAAATTCATGGAAACTAATCTAACAGCTTATCCGAGAGGTGGTTAGACTGTTACAACCTTAGTGATTAACTCATTAAGATTAAATATGTCAAAACCCTAAAGAGAAGAAGTAATGCAAAATTCCTTTGGAAAATTGGCCAATCTATTTGGTAATTGCAACATTCATTTCTATTATGGGAAAATGAGACTCTGCTACTTTTGGAAACTGTTTCTGATTCTCAGCAAAGCTTGGGTCATACAGAGAGAACAGGTTCCTGAGCTTTTTTAAGGAATATTGTCCCCACACAGCTCAATACTAAACTACTCTTATTAATGGCATGGTAAGATTAAAAGCAAGCTCACACATAAGGCCCTCTATGGCTAGTTTAAGCTAGTGCTATCAGGGGTGCAGCAGGTAAGACACACAGAAGGAAGTTTGGTTTAATTCCAAAAGCCATTAAAACTTTGTATGAAGTGAAAACTCCACTGATAATGTTGACCTGCATCTTTAACTGAAATAAATATTAATTGCGCTCACTGTAGTCTTCTTTTAGTAAAGACATTTTTTAAATGTTTTTAAACCTGTAACTATAGACCTGCTAGTTGGATTGGATTTTATGTGACCAGAATTTACTCTGAGACTGCATTCACTTGTTTGACATGTTACAATTTGCTATGATACATGTTCATGCCTTTTTCATGAACATGGAAGGGCTTTAAATTGACATAATTTCACATGAAGTCCTTCCAGTGTAATAAAAATCACTCCATCAGCACGTGGTCTCCAAGCTGCCTTTTTATTCACACCTAATCATCTGGAAGTTTAACCAGAAAACTGAAAATGTATTATTAAGGTTTATGCAACAGGACAATTCTACTGTCAGTTTGCCCATAAAGAAAAGAACTACAGACTTTTAATCTGGCCCTTACATATTATTTCTTTTGCAGCTAAATTATTTATTGAGCAATTGTCCAATATTGAAGGAGGAACCTAAACTGACAGGGATCCTGAACTGTTCCAGTTAACTTTTACCTTATTCCATGATTGCAGGTTATAGAATTCACACACAGTGTCAAAACATAAACATGATGGCAGTGTAATTACCTGTATTTATGTTTCCTGCAGGTTTTGCCCATGACACATGCTTATATGTGGTTTTTGGTTTGTTTGGTGATTATTTTTGTACCCTGATGACCTTTAAAAGCAGACTGTATTTTTGGTTCTGTTCCTGATATGATGTCACCCCACTTACATAGCAATTATGTTTACTTTGGCCTATCGCACTTAACTGAGGTGGTCATGTCATTTTTTTTTCTCTGTTTCTGAAATAGTGGAACAGAATAATTTAAACTTCGATTCATTATCTAATAGATTCAAAGGGTTGGCTGTGTTTTCCTTGTGTGTTTGTCCACTCTGACTCTGATGAAGGCACGGTAGTGTTGAAATCTCACTCTGTTTGCATAAGTCACGGCTGTGAATTTAACTTGTGTGCTTCCTGTCATTCATAATGCCACAGCTCACTCCCAATGCCCATGAGCCTTAAGATGTGTTGTTTTCAATAGCATGCCACATATTTTTCACAGTATAGAAAGAAAGGATAGTAAAAGTCACTTCGGCACAAATTTGGGATCCCCACGGAGTTTGTCTTTCAATTATATTTCGAGTTGAGATGAAATCAAACGCGTCTTCAACTGTGATATTTTAACGAGATATGACACGAGGTCCCAACAAATAACATTCAAGTGATGCAACAAAAATAGAGGTGGGCTTTTCCCCCTACATCTAGTACAATTTCCGGCCCTTCCAGACTCTTCACAGACAAGAACACTAGTCAGTTGTAGGTCAGTACCTGATGAAGGTGGTTTTCCCAGTGGAGTACTGGCCGACCAGCAGTACCATGGGTTTACTCTGGAAGTCAGCAGGCTCTAGGGCCGGGGAGTGGAAGTCATGGAAGAGATAGGTCTCTTCCAGCGGCAGCAGCTTCTTGGTGTAAAGAGTCTGCAGTCCCTCCGTAACGGTCTGGTACATCTCTCCTTCTTTGTTGCTGCCACCCTGCTCCTGTTTGACCCAGCTGAACATGCTTCCCGCTGTGTTCTGTATCCAACTTCCTTGTTTCGATGTTTCCAAATATTGCGGCTGTTTTTGCCTCCTTCTCTGTGAGCTCCGTCCTTAGCCTGAGCGGAGGGAAGTGTGTGTCTGGCTCCAGGGAGTCTCGGCTACTCTCAGTACTGTGCCTCCTCTGTGTGCTGCTCTGGGCGTGTGTTTGTGATGTGGAGGGTGCTGATGTGCTTACCTGGGGGCACCGCCCTTCGCCCCGTGACGACACAGACTCTCTCCACACACACACACCACACACACACACACACACACCAACGCACATACGGGGACGTTTCAAGAATGTTCTGACAGGGTACACGGAAGCTCAGCAACAGCACGGGAGTGCTTTCGCCACATCTAGCGGCAAAACTGAATATTTGCTCACAAACAAATCCGGTGCAGACATTAAACACATGGATAGTTTTTTAGGCCCTCATACGTATGACATGAAAGTAAGTAAAAACTAACTGTAGCCAATTAAGCCACGGATGGAATAGTACGGAAGGTTAACTTGAACTAAAGTGCTCATTATGCAACTTATATAAATGAGAGTAGCGATTAGATCATAATACTGATTCATTAATGTTCTATTCCTTAGTAAAGCAACAGGAGATGTCTAATGAATTTAAGCTAATCTGTAATAATGCAGTAACATATATTAGTAGAAGTATAATGATAAGTAGCAAAGCCAACATACGGTTACTTCAATCAAACTATTGGAAGTAAAAAAACTCAAAGGACAGTAATCAAGTAAATATACTAAGTACTTTCCACCACTAAACTGTCCTTTAGTGGTGGAAAGTAACTTAGGACAGCGAAGAAAGTGAGACAAGTGCAACAATATATGTAAATAGTGCCATGAAAAAATATTGCCTACTTCTTGATTTGTTAGTTTTTTTAAAAATATTTGTCGCATTTAAATGTTCAGATCATAAATACTTCTACTATTACTACTATTAATAATAATGGTAATAAACAAAGATAAACTGTGTAAATACAGTTTTGAATGATAATGTGAAAATAGAGCTGTTGTTATAGGGAGATGTTGTCCTGTAGCACCCACTATTATTGAAAAACCACCGCAGCATATGTGTTCTATAAGGATTAAATTGCTGGAAGTTAAAATAGCCAAGGGCCAAAACAGAAATTGTCATTTAGAGATATTTATTTTGGATCTCCTGGTATGTATAGTTTAAAAGGGTGGTACACCTTTCTTTCAGTGATCATGCAGTAGCAAAGTTAGACCAAGCACAGTAGCAAATCTAAAAAGAAAAAAATATCACGGTGTTGCAGCCAGTGAAAGTCCAGACATCAACCAACTGAAATACTGTAGTGATTATTAAGAGAGCTATTCATAAAGGAATATCTGTAAACATCAATGAATTGAAGCAACATTTTTTTAAAGAAAAGTTGACTAAAATTCCCCCACAAGTGATGTGGGAGAAAATTGGACAAAAAATCTTCAACCTTCAAGTGACTTATTACTGGCAGAGGTGGTTCCTTAAGTTACTGAATCTTATTAACTTACTTGCTTTTTCACAAACTGTTTCTGCATATTTGCTTAGTGTTTATTAATAAATAATAACACTGTGTATTATGTCATGTTTTGTAGTTCATCTGAGGCTGCATTTACCTAATTTTAAGGCCTGCTAAGAACCATATTATTATTATTATTGTTGTTGTTGTTGTTGTTATTCAAAAGTCCAAATAATGAGATCCTGTTTCAAAGTCATAACCTTTAACTCATGTTAATTTTGAAATACCAAGTGTGTATCATGATTACCAAAGTTTCATTTTAATAAAATTCTGAAAACTTTACCTACCTTAAAAATGTAGTTTGTGTATATATTATGGAGACACTGTTTTTAATCAGGATTTATTTCCTCCACATATCTTAGTTTTTCACCATCTGTTGAGATATTTAATATTATTGAGAGCATTATCAACACCAACCATCAGGGGGCGCGCATGTAGGCAAATGAGAACCTAGTGCGAAAAATCCTCTAAAGCAAACGAAGAAGAGGCGGAAGCGGAAATAAGGTTCTTTTGTTTTGAAAGAGGGAAATTTAAAAACTCGACGGTGTTAGTCGGAAATAAACAAAAGCATTGGGAGTAAGCCTTCAAAAAACGACAGGAAAATGGACGCAAACTAACACTCTTCGCCCCTGAATGTAAAGTAGGTCACCGGAGAAACATTTTGTAGTGTTTAGGTTGCGTTTGAAACCGAGCCTTTCTTTGATGTCAGCGTCTCAGCTGAACGTGTTCAAACTCCTATTTTCCTTCTTGCACTTAATGTATTTTTCCGACTAAATGTTTACAGATAGGAGTATAATGGAGTAGCTATAACGCAATGTTAGGCATCATGTTAGGAACATTTGGTCGACTGTAGGTCTAACAGAGAGAGCTGTCGATCTTAGCACAACGGAAGCTTTTAGAGCTGCCACAGAAAATAATTTGAATGCTTTTATAGTTAAATACTAATATTAGTTGTAGTTAAGGAAATATCAAAAGAAGAATCTTTCCAGGCATAAAGATTACTTTTTTATTGTTGTTGTTTTTTATTTTTATTTAGCTGATATTATTATGTGTTTTTTTTTTTTCGGTGTGTGTGTGTAACAAAACAAAACGAGACATCACTGTAAGACTTACAGGCTCGATTAACCTTATGAGAGGCCGTCAGTGACTTCCGGTATACAACTTTGTTTCTAATAAAGTGAGACCTCTTTGTAAAATGTAAATAA